TTCCCAAAGAACACCATGACGTCCTGTCTTCTTCTAGTCGTTTAGCACTTCTGGGTTCATGCCCCGTGTCTGGTGAGCATTCAATATCGATTTTTTTCCTGTAGTGTCCTCATTATTTCAAAATACCCAATTCTCTTATTTACGTGTCGTTATAAATACGTGCAGTGTTGTCTAACACCTTACAGCGGTCGACTGCACCAAGTCATATAGAAAATAGCTTGGCTAAGCGTGAATGAAAATGGATGGAGAATGTTCTTAATCTTAGAAATATTTGCTTTTGTTGGTATCTGAATGGCAGGTAAATCTGTCGGGTCTGTGTGCAAGTGTTCTTGTCATCAAGGAAAAATAAGCCATCTAATTTGTGGTGGTTATTTTTTCCTTTGAGGCTGGCAAAGAACCTGTGGAGCCTTTCTACAAGAAGAGAAAAATAAAGAGCACAGTTCTCCTCTCCGTGTTATGAAGACATACAAGAGGAAACCGGGCGTGCGTTTGTTTGCAGAGTCGTTGAGTACTTTTGGTGGAACATTCGACTGATGGACGCGGCTGGAAGGTCTATACTTCTCCCTCGACCGTGGGTCGCATCTTGAGGATGTGATTTAGCGCCACCCTGCCGCCAGCATCAGGGTCCTTGGCGGTTTACTCTTCTCTGCAGTGAGTGTTACTGTGTGACGGGTCTCATGTTCACATAGTTTGCCTAATCCATTTCGGGAAGCTGGAATTCATTAGTTCATTTGCAGGCACTCTACCTACCACTCCAAGGTATGCCATGGAGCTCAACTTTGAGCAGCTTCTAAATCAATTTGAATTTTGTTAGGCTATTTTGAAGGATCATTTAGTGGGAAATGTGTACTAGACACGCCGATTACATCGTGCAATGATGATGACGCTGACTACTTGTCTGGCAATCTTTTGATAGGGAATCGATGTTGTACTGTTTTGTCGTTTTATTTTCCTTTCGCGAGATAGCTTTTTAGAATATGTGTGAACTTGGTGGCGATGCTTTTTTTCTTCACAAAACATACTGAAAATGTGTGATAATTTGGTTAAAGGTCTGCTTACGAGTGGAGGGGGGCTCGAGACAATTTTGCTTGTACTAATCGTCCTTTTTATTCTGGTTTCTTCATTGGTCGCCTTGATTTTTCCTGATAATACAGCGTTTGCGGGGTATTAGTAACGTTAGACTGCTGTTGATGTACTAGATGCTGATAATGCCCCCGTCTCGAATGCCCCCACTTCGAGCAAATTTTCAGGCTGAAATTACCTGGAATGATGCACATTTGCAAACTATTGACAGTTTTCTCTGCACGCGTGCTAAACCTTTCATTGGAACTTAAACCTAACGGTGATCCGTTGTCTCAGCATAAGAATTAGCTTCGCCTGAACTACATGCGGTTATCGCAAATTTAAATATACTTTTGAAGAAGTAGCGTGGAAATGGTATACCTTTTAAGCCCGACATGGAGAAGAAAATGATATCGGCTTTGTGTCCCATTAAATACAGATTCTGATGTGGCATCATTCGGTCCTTCACCTGGTCAGGTAGCGAGCATAAGTCCGGGTAGACTTCTGTGAGTAATCGGCTTAGAATTAACAAAGTTGTCTTCATTTTCTGCCCTTAGACAATTATTCACAAACACTGTCGCACAGACCTCATACTGACATTAAAAAGATGGCCTTCGTAAATGCGGCAAGTACGCGATCATTTCACCACAAGTTGCACGAAACGAACTCAGCTCAGACAACGTTAACGAAATGGGCCGTCAATGATTTCAATGTTACTCTCAGCTCCGCTCCATAGTCATCACCCTCACTGAGAGTGCAGCCGAAAGGTGGTGTGATGTCGACGGTGATGAAGTGTAAACCGCAAAGTCCCACAAAACGGGAACGCTTTTATTGAACCGCTCAAGACATTTAAGAGACTGCGTTGGCCGAAGTATACGAGGGTGAGCGGTTGGTTTCTTCTGTCGGGTCTTCCACAAGCGCCGCATGGTGAGACTAAGCTTAAAGCGGTTTTGAAATTGATGAAAATTGCATTCTCCATGTTTCAGCTGTGGAAATGTCATCGGGGCGCAGAACAGCATCACCATCATCTGGTATAAGAGTTACCTATCGGAGGAGGAGATAGAGCAAATGCTAAATGATGCGGAGGAAATCAGTCAGGAGGACGAAAATGGGAGGAGTAGGATGGCAGCGAAGATTAATTTAGTTGACTATATCTAGAAAATGAAGGGGAATTCGGAGAGCGACGAGATGAAGTAAAAAACATCAGAGGAGTATCGACGAAATGCAATTGCAATGTGTAA